TCATCGTATCCGCCGTAACGCAGGTGAGAAATAGAACTAGATTAGATGAGAACTGTTTGTATGATCAAGGAGTGAAAGAATAGAATATAAGCAGGAGAAATTTATGAATTTCTAGTAAAAATTATAAGAAAATTTGTTTTCTTGGCATAACAAATGCTAATTACAAGGAGACAAAATGCAGATCAAGATTATTGTTTTCAAAAGCAATGCAAGTGCGAGAAATCTTTTGAATAACATGTATAGCTTGGGTTCTAGTCTGAATTGAGTTTATATTCTCGATTAAGTTGGTTGGCAGCAGTTGAAGATTAACTGAGTAAATGCAAATTTTCTTGAGAAGATAAATATTTAAGATAGTTTTGATATTCGACCAATCATGCTGCTATAAGACATACCTGACTAGATTTTCGCTTAAAAACCTCCTGTGTATAATATGTTAAGTTTACGTAGGTTTTATGATCATTGATCACAAATCGAAAGAGATGATCCCACATAATATACTGCTTCTAGATACATCATTAGCAAAAGTCTTGAAAATTGAGCACTACAACTCGAGTTTGAAGTTTTATAAACAATCATTATGTCACAAGAAATACTGTATACATCATTAAGAAAGCTTGAACTCTAAAATGAAACGAGGTGGCTCTTACAAACTTTTCTACAAGGTGCCATTTATGAGACTTTATGCTTGGAACATAATTGAGTGACGAAATGTAATAATTCTTGAAAATCACTGTTTAATTCAGTTAGAAAAAACGTGTTCTATGTTTTCAATAGTGAACTGCTTCCTCGATAGCAAAGACTGCGCAAATTTACAGAATCTCAAGCTTCTTGTAAAGGTTGAATTTTCCCGTTAATACGCATGTAGTGTTACTAAAAATCGAGTGCTACCGTATATAAGATTCTACTAGAAAGACTTTTTTCTAAAACAAAACAAAAAACATTGTTTCATTCAGCTTTCAATATTCGTGCCAGTTGTCTAGGTGCATGGGTGTCGATCTCAATCTTCTCTACGCCCACTCAGATTCTGAATTTTCTTTGAGAATCGATCTGAGTAAATGCTTTGATAGTTAGCATTGACTCCAGAAAGTTCTTAGAATTCATTATGTAAACTCTATCTCGAAAAATCACACATAATTGTGGAAAAATACATATATTCCAAGATCATCATATGAATATGTTTCAGGCGAGGGAATGCTGTTTCACAAATCGAATGTTATCATATTCATTCAAAAAGAAATGCGAATCTAATTACAGAAATATTTTCTGTTCATTTTTCAGCGATCAACTCTGACATGCAGCTTTGCTATTCAAGCGCCTTGACGAGCAACAGTCCCAAGTTTTCGCGACCCGGTAGTAGTAAGGAGCTCTCTTACTATTTCATGGCGATTCAGGTGACGGCGTCAACTAGCGCCTCTTACACATTGGTGTGCGACAGTGGTATGGACACTTACGGATATCTATATACTTTGCCATTCATTTCAAGCAGTCCACAATCGAATCTACTAGTAGCTGAAGATGACGGTGGCTCTCAAGGCAATTTTCAGATCACAGCGACTTTTACGGTGACTCAATCCATGATCCTAGTTGTTACAACATACCATCCGGACGACATAGGAGAATTCAATATTTCAATTCACGGTCCCGCACAATTAAGCTTCACACCGTATATTTCCACGCCAATTATCGTAACCAACACCAATGAAGCAACCAGCGTAGGCACTACTGCAACAACTACTACAACACCCATAATTACAACAGCAACTACACTAACCACCAAACTAGCTACTAAAAAAGGCACAAAAAGAGCTAGTAGAAGAACTAAGAAAAAAACCATTAGACCAGCTATTACAACGCCAACTACAGTCACAGGTAGGTGAAACTGAGTGCCAGTTTGAATGATTTCTGAGTCTTTTTTTACGGTAAGCTGCTAATTTTTAAAGCTTATTTATGAAAAGAAATACATGAAACATAATGAAAACTACGAAAATAGCTATAGATATGAAGTGAGCATCTTCTTTTTTTGCGATGCTATTCGACCCTCCACCTAGTTGCTCAAGTGAAAATTCAATTATAGACCAAGATGAACGCGCTAATGTTAACCAAAAATGTACCTTCAGTCCGGTTTCAAACATCTAGTAACTGATTCTATCTAAATATGATACTTTAGTAAATTTTGTTTATTTGTCCAGTAAAATGAATGAAGAAAGTTCATTACATTTTTAGTGTTAAGGCAATGTATTCGTTCATAAATAATTACTGGAGATATTAGTTTTTGTCGTTAAGTAAAGTTTTAGAGACTACAGTTTGGCATCAAGCACTCTTTCCGATAATTATTAACGGAATAATGAGACGTAGCGTTGTTTTCCTACTCCAATCATTTGATGAGAAAGAGCATTCAAAATGCAGAATTTTGATAACACTTCTAGGCGTTTTCAATTTTAACCAGTCACAGTGCTCATTACGTTTCAAAGTATTAAAGGTGAAAAGGTACATTAGATTTGGTAAAAAACCAATGTGTTTTGAGGGCAAGACTTTCTCGTTCAAAAGATAGGTGTCTCACTCTTAATAAGTTTTTCTTTTCAAATATGACAACCCTTTAAAACTATGAATTACAAAACCAGAGGAAATGGCAGGAAAATATGGTTTATTGAAGTTACTTTTCACCATGTAAGGTTCTAAAACAGTCACACAGAACACATCCCTCAAAGAATAGCAACCTGATGCTGTAGAGAAGAATTTCTATTCTTTAAAACAAGTTGGCTTCTCCAAATATAAAATTTCGTTTCGTATCTTATATTTGAAAGTTAGCCGAGTATTTGACAATAGAGAACAATTCATTGAAATAATGAAGGAAAGACTACTGTTGATACATTTCAAATTCATTGGTTAAACCATAGATTTTCATGAATCCAATTTCATCATTTCGAATTATATCTCAATTAATTTGATGTGCTCTGTTTCGATATTTTCCTTGTAATCCATGAGTTTGAAATACATGACGAGGAATGCATGTTTCTTCATTCGAAATACGATTTTTTCGTGCTGTCATTGTTGAAGTCTATAAATAATAAGTATGAGAACGAGTTAAAATTGAAAAAGCCTTAAAAAATTGCTAAACTTATCTATTTTGAACCAAATGACACATAAATATCGTTCTGTTGTGTATCAAAATAAGCAGTACATTTGTTAAATGTTATTACCAAAGGTTAATAATGGAATGATCAATCAGCATGGGATCTATCTCGAATGATATAAGCATCTTTTTTCATTGTGTAGTGACTGCGTCTGGTATCCAGTCAAGCTATTCAGGCGCCTTGACCAAGAAACACTCTTCGTTTATGCGCCCAAAACAAGGAGAATACGGTTTCTACTTCTTGGCAATTAAATTAAAGACTTCCAGTAGCGGCATTTATACGATTTTATGCGAAAGTGGTATCGATACTTATGGATGTCTCTATAATGAATCATTTCTTCCAAGCAGTCCAAATTCGAAATTAATAGCGACAGATAATGACAGCGGTTCAAAAAAGAATTTTAAGCTGATAGCAAATTTGACAACAACTGAGTCTATGATTCTCGTTGTTACCACATACAACGCTGAACAAACTGGAGCATTTAAAGTTATAGTCTACGGTCCAGAAAAAGCAATTTTAACTCCGTACGTCACAATACCACTTGCTACAACAAGCACCTCTACAACAACGCGCATCACTAAATCAAGAATCGTAGGTAGGTGAAACTAAACCGCTAGATTTCATAATCAATAGTATAATCAGCTAAGTGTGATTTTTCTCAAGCAGCATTCTACATGGAAACGAAGAAAATATGAAGTAAAATAATTTCCATGAGTTCAAATTCTCGGGTAACTCATTTTCGAAATTCCAGCGAACAGCAATAATTCAACTCAAATTGCTATTAATGCAAAGAGGATACATTTCGTTTCTTTTTTTTTGAGAAGTTTCCTCGAGCGAATATGTAGATACCCAAGCGATAAATTCAATCTATATGCGTCCGAGCAGTTTAATAATTTGCTTTCACGTGTGGAATTTCATGTTCTAGCTTCATGAATGTTTTCTCACGGTAACTTCAGTATGATGCTGAAAGAGACTATATACTAATCACCAGTAGATTAAGGTGTCGTAGATAGAGATATCAGGATTGCACAAGCTTGACGGATAACATATTCATTGCAAAAAAAAATGTAAATTATTCTTCATTCTCTTCTTGTGTTTAATTGACAAAACAATCAACTGTTTTCTCACATTGAGTTGATGTTACTTGTAATCTGAAATCCATAAATAGGTGAAGGAAGTTTTTGCGCACGTTTTGTTGCATTCACGGAACATTCTATCGTCAAATAATAAGAACACATACAAGTCTTTCTTTTCAATCGCATAAGTAGATAAAAATGACTTTGAAATGTTTCAGTGTCAAACTCAAAGATCAATCGGTAATTTAAAAAATAGAATGTGTGTAACAAACTTTGAAAATCTTCTTATCACTTGAGTCTTATTATCTGACCTGGGAAGTTGATATGTGAAACAAAACCTGAGTGTGAATGCATGAACTGCCAATGAGTAGATCCGTACTAGCACGTAGATGATAAAATGGTCATTCTTCGGTGATTTAAGCAAATACATATCTAATGAATGAAACCTCTCTTAGTGTATCTATAGATGTGACAGAAATTAAGAGTCAAAATATGACAATATCAAAGAAATGATTCTTTTATGGAACGATATTTGAAAAAGATTGATTTGAAATCACCGTCCGACAAAACAAATTACTTTATCATGCAGTTATTATTCAATATAAGTATCTTGAGAACAGTAGTGAAAAATATCTATCAGTTGATTATTTTTCACTAGCTGTGGAGCTAGCTGATTATCAATAGGAAGTTAAGCAAACCTCTTCGTACATATATACGCATGGATAAAGTTCTCTTACGTTAGTGATGAATTTTCATGACAACCAGAAAGATGAACTTCTAACCCTTGTTATAACTTTATAATGTTATCAACGTAGGGTGACCTTGAGATTTCACCTTTTTTTTCGAGATATGTATCATATTTCGTATTTGTGTGAATGAAAGATATACGTTTGTCTTTTTCTCTCTCTAAGTGACAGTGGCGGCGGAGCCACTGAGACCCATGAGGCTTGAGCCTCACCTCGATTTCACAAGATGAGGCTCAGCCTCACTTACTTTTGTACTGAATATCGTTATTTTTTATTTTTGCATCAAAGCAGGAGCAAAAAAAGTCTTTTTTCGTATTTTCCAATCATCTTTTTTTATACTGACCATTTTTATTTTTACTGCAGTTCAATAAAAAGAAGACTTATTTTCTGCTTGATGCATTCATAAAATTCCACGGTAGAAAAAAAAATTATGAGCCTCACCTAGCTTAATGACGCTCCGCCGCTCCTGAATGATTCTATAATGTTCCTATTGATGTTACGACATTATAGTCGAGAAAGACAGTGATATTCATAGTGATTCCAGAGCCGATGGAGTCACATGGAATCAATGGAATCACACGGAATCACACGGAATCACGCGGAATCACATGTAATCAATGGAATCAACAGAATCACATAGAATCAGTAGAATCACGGAATCAGCTTTCTCCCCTTTGTCTTCCTCTCATTTAGTATATTTACTACTGTTAAAGTCACGTATTTTCCTCGTAGCAATTTAATTTAGAATTAAATTAGCTTTTCACGAAGTTAAATTTAAATAAAATCAACTGTAAATTGACACCCTCAAGATAGGAAAATAATACAATGTACGTATAATAAGCTCATATATGTTCATAGAAAATATAGACTAGCCTGTCTCAAAAATACAAAGCAAAAGATAGATGTCTATATAAAACTATTTTGATGCAAAAAAATCTCATTTTAAACATAACAAGAGCATTAGAGAGAACTCTATATTCTTGCTATAGAATAATCTTCCAGTATATAGAAAAAACTTATTCTGAGGAATTTCTAGCAAAAAAAGAATGATCTATTCAAAGAATTTTACTCGATACTTTCGAATTTATTTCAAATACTAGCTATACTCGAGAGAGAAAGAGAGAGATATCTCCTTTTATTCTTATACATTTTCTCTTCTAGTTAATATTCCTGCTAATGCCACGTGGGCACAGAACGGAGTGACTATTGCTGGAGGTCACGGGAGTGGGGATGCCACTAATCAACTCTGGACCCCTTTTGGTCTCTTCGTTGATGATGATCAAACAGTGGTTATTGTTGACTTCGGGAATCATCGTATCATGCAATGGAAGAACGGTGATACAACGAATGGGCAAGTTGTTGCTGGTGGCAAGGGCAGAGGAAATGGATTGAATCAATTGCAGTATCCAACTGATGTATTAATTGACAAAGAGACGGGTAGTCTCATTATTTGTGATCGAGGGAATCGACGAGTTGTACGATGGTCTCGTCGTAGTGGTACAACACAAGGTGAAATACTCATCGACAACATCGAGTGCTTTGGAGTAGCAATGGATGAACAGAGATATATCTACGTTTCTGACACAGAAGAAGATGAAGTGAGACGATATCAATTGGGTGAGAAGAATGGCACTCTCGTAGCTGGTGGAAATAGACAAGGTGATGGACTCAGTCAACTCAGCGTGCCGACACATCTCTTTGTCGATCGAGATCATTCAGTGTACGTATCAGACAACAGCAATCATCGTGTAATGAAATGGGTGGAAGGTGCAAAAGAAGGTATTGTGGTCGCTGGAGGACAAGGCAAAGGGAATGCTCTGACACAATTGTCTAATCCTAATGGACTCTTCGTTGATACGTTGGGTACACTCTATGTAGCAGACTTCTGGAATCATCGTGTAATGCGTTGGACTCAAGGAGACAAGAAACAAGGCACTGTAATAGTGGGTGGAAATGGCGAAGGAGCAGGGGCAAATCAGTTCAACGTCCTCGTTGGTTTGTCTTTCGATCGACAAGGTAATCTCTATGTAGCCGATAATAATAATGATCGTGTTCAACGATTTTCTATCGAATAAGACTTGCGAATTGTTTTTTCTTTGTTCGTTTCTTTTTCTATACTTTGAAATAAATGAACAAGAATAAAAGGAATTTCCTTTTACTCGTTCGCTTCAAAGAAAAGAAAAAAGCTAAAATTACGTCATATGTTTCTTTTCTTCTTCTTCTTCTTCTTCTTCTATTTATTTGTTAAATAAGCAGAAATGAATTGATTGGAATGAAAAAATTATTTCTTTTTGCTTACCAGCTAATAGTTGCTCACGCGACCAAGAGCTATCTAGGTGGTGCCATAGAGAGGCGAGCCTCTTCACGTACAGGCATAGATCCAGCGTGTATAGAACATACAACAGGAAGATCTATATGCGGCCTGTACGTGCTATGGGCACCAAGATAGGCTTGGCCAGTTTCACGCCGATGTATAGAAGGCCTCCGTAGAGCGTAAAATATATACATATATATAATTAGTTTATATTTTATTTCAAACTATATGTAACATCATCTACAATAACATCATATTGTCATACTACAATTAAAATTTCAAACAATCTTATTATTTCATTTTCTTCTATTTCTCTAAATACAGATAAAGGCAAACTTATGTAATTTTGTTTCTCTTCTTTTATTAACTATAAAATCCAAAGAAGTTAGTTAGTTAGTTAGACCCGCTACCGTTTCCGGTGTTGGGTAAGAAGAAAACAAAAAAAACACAAAATACACAAAGATAGTTATTAGTAAAGTTATAGTTTTTGTCTTCATTGCCGACCGTATTGTTATGAACTCGACTGAAGATGAAAACGTGGAGATCAGGAGACCACCCTCCCGTAAACCAGCTTTAAATAGACTCCTTCATGGTCCATGCTATCAAAGTTCAGAAGATGCCTTACAATCATTTGAAGCCATTTCCAATTCCTTGCATTCCATTCCATTTTAAATTTCTTTATTTAATTTTATTGTTTTTGCACCAAACTTGAGCATTAATACATGCCTTTACATGATTCGTAATTCCTTGAGGTTTAAATTGAATTCCACAACCAGGACAGACATAATGATTATTTGTATTTTTAACAAGAATTTCAGTTACTTTTATTTTGGTCACTCTGTGAGATGCAGCCAAGTCATCATTTCTTCGATTTACAGCTCTTTGTTTATATTCGTGGATGATTTCTTTAATCTTTTGATGTACAGGTCTGTTCTGTACATTTTTGTTAATTAATTCTCTCCAGTGATCTCTGTTTAAAGAATCTTTTCTCCAATTCTTAATCTGACAGTGTTCAATATCCTCTTTCACTTTATCCTCCCATCTTTTCCTAATGCCGTTGTTACCAGGACGTTTCTCTTCTGGAAAGTAAGAGAAAGTGATCTTTTTCACTACGGATGGTTCATTATCGCTGTTCATCATTCTATTGGCATGGCCAAACCACCTTAGTCTGTTTCGACGTATAATTGCTTCAATTTGTGACTGTCCAGTGATTTCTAAAATTTTATCATTTGATATACGGTCACCTAAATTGACACCTATGATTATTCTAAGACACTTCATATAAAACGTGCTAATTCTTTGTTCATGTGTTTTAGTAATTGACCAAGTTTCACTTCCATACAGCAGCACTGGTAGTACACATGCTCTATATATTCTCAATCTAGATGTAATTGAAATCGTCTTTCTGTACCAGATAACACTGCGTAGCATATTGAAAGCTGTGGATGCTTTCGCTAACCTTGTGTTGATTTCGTCACCAGGTTTTTGATTTCTTGATACACCACAACCTAAATAAGTGAAAAATTTTACAGTTTCTACCTTTTGATTTCTAATATTAATATCAAAATCTGGTTGGTCAACTTCATGATTGTGTATAATTTTATTATTTTGATCAACTTCCAGTTGTTTCAATGTCATAATACACGTTTTCTTCACATTCATTGACAGCCCGTATTCTTGAGTAACTTTTTCAAAGATTTGAATGAATATTTCTAAATCATCAGATGTCTCACACATGACAACTAAATCGTCTGCGTACAGTAAAGCCAAAATGTCGAAGTTCAAATATTTTTCTTTCGTATCGTGAAAAAAGTCATTTCTTCCATAAGAAAATTGTACACCTGTTACATCTGCTTCTTCTATAGCCTTTCTGATGATAAAATCAAATAAGATATTAAATAAAATTGGAGAGGGGATGCCTCCTTGCATTACACCATTATAAATTTCGAAGCTATCCGAGAATTCATCATTTACTTTCACTTTTGCTTTTGAATTTGTATAAAGCATTTTTAGAAGATTAACTAGTTTTTCCGATATTCCATATTGTCTGCATACTTTCCATAATAGTTCACGATTAACAGAATCATATACTTTTGATATATCAATAAAACACATGAATAAGGGCTTGTTAAATTCTCTACGTTTTTCCATACATAATTTTAATATAAAGATTTGATCAATTGTAGATCTATTAGATCTGAATCCAGACTGTGCTTCCAATAATTGACGATTGACCAGGAGTTGAATACGATTTAAAATAATACGAGAGAAGGGTTTACTATTCACGCTGAGCAGTGAAATACCTCTATAATTGTCACACAGTTGTTTATTACCTTTTTTAAATAATTTAATCAAAATTGCTAAATTCCATTCCTTTACCATTTCCTCCTGTTTCCATACATCACTGAAAATTTCATGTAACCACTTGATAACTGGTTCACCACCAGCTTTAAGAAGATCAGCAGTAATCTCATCGTTGCCCGGAGCTTTTCTTGACTTCATCTGATTCAAGGCTTTTCTTACCTCTGATATTGTAGATTGCATATTTTGACGTTCTTCTTCATTCTTTTCTATTCTTTTTATCTTAGTGTGATCAATTAATTGAAGATCCACTGCTGTTGAAACATTAAGTAAATCATCAAAGAATTCTCTCCATCGTTCTAATTGATCAGTTGAATTTAAAATCAATTTTCCATGTTTATCTTTAATAGGCATATTTTCCATTCTCTTCCTTTTACCACTAAGTTGTCGAATAATATAAAATGCATTTGCTGGATCATTTAATTTAACAGAAGACTCAATCTCTTCACATATTTCATCCCAATACTCTTCCTGACGTTTTTCAATTTTGGTCTTTGCTAATTTTCTTAAACGTTTATATTTATTAGCATATTCAATTTCTAATTTTGTTCCTCGGTGATTTTGCCAATTAACAAAAGCTGTTGCTTTTTTTTCTACAATTTCTAATATTTCATCAGTAAGCCATTCTTTACGTTTACGATTTTTGTTCTCATCTATTTTTAAAATTTTCTCTGCATTTGTTTTCATATGTTCAACAAATCGGTCATATTTTTCATCAATACTAATTGTTTTATCTGTTGCATCGGAAAGTGTTGGAATGAGATCTTTTTGAAATTGTTTTAATGCATTATCATTTTTCATTTTTATTG